TTTCCACCCTCGATGACGAATCGAAGGTAAGGATCTTAAGGTAAAAAAGGTATACGTATCAGAAAGAGAAAGGGATAGAAATATACGGGGAGAGAAAGAAAGAGAGAGAGAGAGAAAGAGAGAGAGAAGAGAGGAGAAAGGCAAAGTCTAGAGGATATGTGCACGCAACGATGCGTCAATGCACATGCCTTCGTAGCCGAGCAACGTTAGCTACGGGGGTTGGCAGACAATGAGTAACGGGTCTCCGTATAGCCGTCAAGGGTCGAAGAAGGGAGAGGGCGGGGAGAAGGAAGGCCGAGGGAAGTCCCGCATCTCCAATCGATTACAATAGCACCTAACCTAGGGTAGGTAGCGGGAGAAGAGACCCGTGTGAAAGGCCCCTTTCCTTTCTATCTATCTCTCTCTCTCTCTCTTTCACACAAACACACACACATACATACATTTATATATACATATATACATGTATAGATACACCCTTTCGCTGTTGCATGTACTTACGTACATATTAGTACACACGCAACATACCCAAACACACTACCACACACATACACACTTATACATATATATATAGATGGTTTCATTCCTTTTCCCCCTTTCGCCCCCATTTTACTCCTTTTCTCTTACGCGATATTCCCTTAGCACAACATGCTTGGGGTTGCCTCGGCTTTACTCGGCCTTCGTCGATCGTATTCGCCAGAGGATCTTCCACCTGCATGCGTGTGTCCAATTTCTTTCTATATATATGTATATATATAGATATATGTATATATATATATATATATATATATATATATATATATATGTTAGTTCGCGTTGGTTAGTTCTACACCCTCTCACCCACCTCGTATATCCCTTCGAAAGAGAACACTAAACACTCGCAGTAATTTGATAATTCCATCGTTTCCTTTGGAAATCGCTAATGAAACTCATTACGGTCGATACGGTCCTACGGTAAAGGTACGAGAACAACCTCCAAGAGATTCGAGTTTAAGAGAGAGAACTGGTTTTCCACCTTGTATCTTCACTAACACTAACACTATTACGACGACTACTACTACTACTATTATAATACTACTACTACTACTGTTGCTGCTGCTGTTGCTGCTATTGATAGTTGGTGGTTGTGGTGGTAGTGATGGTACTACTATATACTGTATAGTATTACCATTACTATTATTATTACTACTACTACTACTATTACTGTTGCTGTTGCTGCTGATGCTGATACTACTGCTGTTGATGACTGTGCTATTACAATACTATGTATTTGCAGGTTGGAGGAAAGTACGAAGAAATTTTTCCAGAGATTCCTTAACGCTATCTTTTATATTATGTCTTAGTTAAGTCTATTGTCTTGATGAACGAGTACGTTCAAATGACCCTCGAATGATGAAAGTTAAATATATGGTAAGAATCTTTCAGATCATTCGAAACTAATCTCATTCGAAATTTGTCATATTGGAGATTGGATTTTTATATATATAATCAATCTGATTATATAGATGATTAAAATCGAAAATTTTGATAGAAACGATGTGACGTTAGTTAAAAAATTGTTAAATGAAGGATCATCGTTCGATGGAAATGGAAGAAAAAGATAATATTGAAAAAGTTCAAATCTGATCGTATAAGAAAAATATTCTAATGTAAGAATAATTGATCGAGATATTGTTTTTATGAAAAATAACTAATCTAGTTGATTATCTAGATAATTATAATGAAATACGCAGAAAATTATAGATCTAAACGAAGAAATTAGCAGAAGAAGAATCCTGGAAAGTATAAACTATCCATTTGGATACTATTTCATGAATAACTAGAACAAATAATCGATCTTCTAATTTTCTTATACAATTAAAATCATCGAATCTTCATAAAAAATAAATTAAAGAAGTTAATTATCATTAGAAGAATTTCTTTGAATAATTTGAAAAGATAATAATATTAAACTAGCGCAGACGCGCGCGTACGTAGAATAAAAATTTACAAGGTGAATATTTTCGTAGCCGATAAAGGAAGGAAAGAAAAGGAATACCAAAGTCGGTTGGTGGGACTATTTTTCTTTCTCTTGCGTTTCGGCGTATTCGGAGGTCAGCGGGTCTAGGTAGAGACGGTTGAAATTCAGGTTTTCGAGCTGGTTAGGCTTGGTAAAGAAGAGAAGAAGACGAAGAAGAAGAAGAAGCAGAAGAAGAAGACGAAGATGAAGACGAAGACGAAGACGAAGATGAAGACGAAGACGAAGAAGAGGAGAGGAGAAGAGGGGTTTGTGCTTTGGCCCTTCGATCCCAGTGCTCCTGGCCTCCTCCTGAATMCCCCGCCTATACATTCTGGTACAGACACTTCCAAAATTCCTCCCACCGTCCGAACTCTGCAGAACTGCACAGGCCACCAACCAGCCAGCCAGCCAGCTAGCCAGTCAGCCAGCCAGCTAGCCAGCCAACCAGCCAACCAACCAACCAACCAACCAACCAACCAACCAACCAACCAGCCGGCCGTAATAACGAGTTGCTACGCGATCGAGCGTACGTCCGCATAAAAACGGGGGAATGTCCACCTGACATATGCTTTATCTCCTTTCGAGATGGTGCACTATGCGAAATATAATCACCGACTTATAAAAGAGACAGAAGAAAAGAGGGGAGAGCAACAAGAGACAACCTGGGTTCTTTTCCCCTTCAGTACATACACATACATAGATAGATACATACGTACATAGATACATACATACATGTTAGGAAAATTTGTCAAATTGTAATAGGTTACTTGTCCCGATCAGCTATTATTCGAGACATTGTTAACGTACGTTGGAAATTAATTCGTTACTTTGTAACCTTTTGATCTGTTACTTTGATCAAAAGGTTATTGGCCCTGAGCCAAGCACGGTAAAGAGTTAAAGAAAAATTTGTAGGTATCAAATCGTTTTCTTCGGAACTTGTTCGATTAATCGTGGTGTTAATTTATTATATATATATATGTTTAAAAATAACCGTATCGATCAAAGTGAAAGTTTGATTAATCGAAGGTTAAATTTTGACGGGGTTTTTTTTTTTATCGTTCATTGATTTATTCGTGCGTTCGTTCGTTCGTATAATTGAGAATTATCCACGGAACCTTTTCTCTGTGCAAAAAAAATATTTATCTTTTCTTATATTTCCTCTCTGATATCTTCAAATAAATAAAACAAGAAGAAGGCGTTACGCGATATCCGCGTGTTGCGCATTCCATTTTCTTCTTTCGCAATTCACTACTGACGTAACTAACGTTTGTATTCGACTTTTTAATAAAGAAATTTGCTTATTAATTGATCAATGACCACGAAATTATTAAACCGAAATAAGATCGAAAGAAAGAAGAAGCATAATGCAATTCCCCCCCCCCATACATATGCATAACCATGTATACGTGGTGCATATTCAATGTTTTAGACAGGATTTCTGCGTCAACTTTATCTCTGAATCGAGTGCGCGTCTCTCTCGTTCGTCAATCGTGTTCGAGGATAGTAAAATAAAAAGAACACACGAAAAAGAAAAAGAAAAAAATAAGAAATTAATAACAATAACAACAACAACCAACAACGGCAGCAGCAGCAACAGCAGCAACAGCAGCACATACGCGCACAGTTACGACAGCAGACAACAACAACAACGCGACCAACAACAATAACAGCAACAACAACAATAACAAAAAAAAAAACTGCAATTTTATAAGACAGATTACCATTACCGAGCACGATTCTTTTTTTGTTGCGCTGCAGCGCGTATATGCATGCGTGCGTGCGTGTGCGTACCTGTGCTTTTTTCTTTTTTTTTTTTTTTTAACGATCGAGTTACGAAAGAGGGAAAAATGAGAGAAAAAAGGTAACAAATAAAAAATATAGATATACACATACATACATGTGTATGTATGTTGTATTTGTACGTGTGTGTGTGTGTGTGTGTGTGTGTGTGTGTGTGTATAAAAAGAGCGTAGAACCTAACGTGCTCGGATTTTCTCTCTCTCTTTTTTCTACACCACGCAACAAACCTCCACCAATCGGCCGAAAAAGACCGAGAGGTCGAATTTATTGGCGGTATCGACGAATGAAAATTATTGCCGAATCAATGGCATGAAAAAAAAAAAAAAAAAAGAAAAAAGGGAAGAAACAAAAAGAAAAAAAAAGAAAAAAAAAGAAAGGATGAATAATAAAAGAGAAAGAAATTAAAATTTAGTTACTTTCACACACACGCACGCACAAACAGATTTACGTAGGTGTATTCGTGTGACGTACAACGATGGCGATCGATAATAGGTTTCTTTTTCTTCAAGAAAATGTCAAAAAGTTTGCCAAGCAGGATTGGCAAAAGCAACATTATTCGAAATGAAAGAAAATAAAAATAAAAATGGAAGAAAGTTGGACAACAGGACACTGAGAGTTACGAAAAATCAGAACAATTTCGAGAGAAGACTTCGTTTCCTCGTCGTGTTCATTCATTTCGTTGTCTTTTAGTCGTTGGGTATTAGAAAAAGACCCAATTTGAGTTTAAAATATGATGAAGCTATTAAAAACGCGACGATGGCGATGGCGGTGGCGGTGAAGACGACGACGACGACGATTGGGTTCGAATGCGTTCGAGTTCCGGCAAATCGGGGATGACTTTAGAATCGTCTCTTTCAAAGACTTTACTGATTCTGAGTCTCTTTAGACTGTCGTGAGATTTATATTAGTAGGATTCCGGTCAGCACCGACTTCCACGGATCTCGAACGTTCTTAACACATTGCCGTCCGGTAGACAAAGATAAATAGAAAGATAGAGGAGAAGAAGAAGAAGAAGAACAAGGGAGGAGGACAACTGTAAGAGAAAAGCAAGACGACGACAACAACACGCGGGTAGTTTCGATCATCGAGAACAAAACGATTGATAAAAGATCGTAAATACGCTGGTGGTATGCGCTGCGCTTATTGTGTATTCGTGTATATATATATATATATATATATATATATATATATATATATATGTGTGTGTGTGTGTATATATAAGGATGAATACTACACCACGTCGTGTTGTTGTTGGTGGCAAGGTTCGGCCGGGAACAAATGTTGTTGTATTGGTAATTTACTGGGCGGCAATGTGTTAATAGAAAGCCATCACCGCACGTGCCAGAGACCAAGATTCAAGGTACTCAGCTGCGGTAGTTTCATAATCCTCTCCAGGCCATTGGTCGTTATCCTCGTGCATCCGTAGAGATCGATGCACTTAAGGTGCTTCATGCTCTCGGCGATGGTATGAAGTCCCTTGTCCGTCAACCTACTACACTGACCGATATTCAGAGTCTCTAGGTCGTGGAGAGTCTTAGCGATCTTACATATACCCTCGTCGCTTATCTGACAAGCTGATAACGACAAGGATTTTAAATTGAACAGGCCCTGGGAAATGTGTACGAGAGCTTGGTCGCCTATTTTGTCGCAAAATGATACATCCAAGGATGATATCCTACTCCCACCTTCTGCTAAATAAGCCATACCGATGTCCGATATGTTGTCGCAGGATCTTAAGTTGAGTTCTCGCAAACTGGACATTCTCGCTAGATGCTTAACCCCGGAATCGGTAATGCACACGCAGAAGGATAGATTGATCGACTTGAGCGTAGTCAAGCCGACGGATACGTGCCTGAGCGCCTCATCGCTGAGCCTCTGACAATCCTGGAGACTTAGATGTTCCAACGCTAAATTACCGTCCGCGGTTTCCCGATTGAGTCCGGCTAAATGGGCGATTCCTTGGTCGGATACGTGCCAACAGCTTCGCAAATCGAGCCTTCTCAGTCTCTTAAGACCCCACGCTATCAATAGGAGACCAGTATTGCTGATGTTGCAACAACCGCCCAGTTCCAAGTGCTCGAGATTCTTAAGGTACTGTGCTATCCTGCCGAGGGACGTGTCGCTCACTTGCTTGCAAAGGGACAAATTGAGCTCGGTCAACGCCGGATACTCTTGGCAGAAAGCATTGGACAATCCGGAATCGGTGATGTTGTAACAACCGGAAAGATTGAGAGCCTCAAGATTCGGTACGCCCTTTAGTACGTCGCTTAGACCTCTTCTCAAGGACAATACTTGAACCTTTTTAACTCCTCTTCTTACCAAACTGGAGAACAACGCCGGTGCCTGTTTCCTCAGGTGTAACCTGGCTTCGACCCCTCGCCAAACCGATCGGTAATAAGCAGCGTCTCTCCATGCGGTGCACACCTGTGCCGCCCTACCCTTGTCCCTAACATCCAAGTAACTAAAGATCAGCGCTAATATCTCTGGATAGAGGGAGGATATATGCGTGCTAGCCGAGGCCACATTACGCGGTACGTGTGGCAGCTGCCTCGAGGAGATACCTTGAACGTATGCTGGCAAACTGGTCGCCTCGCTATTGTAATGCGGCATGTTGGACGAGTTATGAAGTATGGCTTGGCTTGTTTGGCTCTGAGCGTTCGTTATCCCTAAGTGTGGCTGATGCAAATGAAAATAGTGACCAGGACGATGCAACAGCGTCGTACCGCGGCTTGGTGTTAATGCCGGAAGTTCCGTCATCAACAGCTGACTTTCCTCCATCTTGCCGATCGCACTACGCGCTTCTTCCAAGCGAGCTTTCTTTCGTTCTACCACCACTACTTCCTCCTCCTTCTCCTCCTCCTCCTCTTCTTCCTCGGCTTCTGCCTCCCCCGCCAGCCTCCCGACCCTTGCTACTGCCGCCGCCGACACGGCCAACTCTCCTCCTCCTCCTCCACCACCACCTCCTCCTCTCTTCCTTTTCTCCCCTTCCAACGCCTCGCTCCTCCACCGATCTTCTCTAGGCGTATACATATATGTATGTACTTCCTTGGCCGTACATGTATGCCCCGACAACGACGACGACGAAGACGACAACACACACGCGCACGCACTAACGCACACGGGCTGCCACACCGTCTTCTCTTCTTCTCTCTTTCTCCAACTCGATTCTAAGGCGAACTCAGTGGTAACGCACCAGCGCCGGCATAACGCCTTTTCTCGCCTTAAATACCTTCCTTACCCAGTCCTCCTTATCCTCCTCTTCGTATTCCTATTTAACTCTCGGATAGCAGAAGTCCCAAAGACTTTCGATTAAACTTAAATGTACTTACGTACCAGTGCGATATGTACTCTCTTGGAATGCGTCGTTATCACGGAAGCATGATTCGATATTTGATACAGTCTCTCTTCCTCTCTTTTTTATGTTTCTTAAGAGTCTACTCCAAAATTTAAGGAGTACAGTATATCAGAGTTCGACGATCAGTTCGACACTATTCTCTCGTGTTGATCGCACATGTAAAACTCTGTCGTATTTTTTCTCTCTTTCTCTCTCTCTCTTTCTCTCTCCCTTCTTTCGTTTCTTTTTTTTCTGCGCCTACAACCTCAACCTCCTCCACCACCCCCTCCTTCTCCTCCTACTCCACCGCCTCCTCTACCACCACTACTACTCTACTACTCACTACTACTGGCTCTTCCTCCTCCCCCACCCCGCCAACCACCCCCACCGTCGCTCAACGCTCGCTCTGTCCCGACCGTTCTCCTCCTCTCTCTCTTTCCAACATTCTGCTGGCCCTCCTTCTCTCTCTTCTACCCTTCGACACTCCCCGTGCCCCACCCGCCACCTCCTCGTCCTCCTCTAACTCTTTCTTTCTTTCTCTCTCACTTCTTCTCCACCTCTTCCAGACTCTTTCGCTTCCGCCGCTGTCCTTCTTCTTTCTCACTATTTCTTTCTCTTTCTTGCTCAAGGGAACGCGCGCGCCTTTCTCTCTCTTTTTTTCTCTCTCTCTCTCTCTCTCTCTCTCTTACTTTCTCCCTCTCTTTTTATCTTTCTGTCTCTGTATATACAGCACGATATCACTTCCTCTACTCTCTCGTTCTGTCTCACCACTAGCTGGCAAGCCGCCTTCTCGCACGCACGACGCGATCTACGCACACTTGTGTCTTGTGTCTCTCTCTTTTTTTTCTTTTTCTTTCTCTCTGTATTTCTTTATATATATATATATATAATATGTGAATGATATATGTATGTATGAATGTATCTGCTTTTCTCTCTCTCTCTCTCTCTCTCTCTCTCTCTCTCTCTCTTTCTTTCTTTCTTTTTTTCTTTCTTCTTCTTCTTCTTGTCTGTCTGTCTGTCTTTCTCTCTCTCTCTTACTCACTCGATGTGTGCCGCCGCCGTGACGGCGACGTGCTGCTTACGCGCTGCCCTCGTCGAACGTTTTACAAATGCACACGCTGAGAGAGAGAATATATGTGATCGAAGAGAAGAAAATATATTTCTACGCCTTCTTATTCTTTTTTTTCTTTTCCTTTAATCTCCCGTTCTTTATATTCTCTGAACTATTTCGTCACACCATGAGCGGCGATAGTAGCAGCAGCAGCACGTGACGAGGATCATGAACATAACGGTGTCTTCGATCCCTAGATCTCGTTGATCTTTCTTTCGATTATCGATATCAATGATTTTTCTCAACAACAACAAGTACAACGACTTCAACTACTATCAATGACAGCTATCACGGTGATCACGACGATATTTATAATGAGATTGTTGAACGAAGATTTATTAGATTAACGTGAATTTAACCAAGGTTATTATAAAACCAACCGAGATCTATAGAATACGGTGAAGAAATAATAATCGTTCGTGAGGTCACTCGTGTAGCGGGATCAACGTCAGAAACCGGTAACGCATCGACAAACGTTCTTTACTGTTGCGCTGCCAGTCGCGAACTGTCGTTCCGCCTGCCCAAACTCAGATGTCGTACCTAGTGCTCCGTAGCACACAGGCGGAGCGAACCTGACCCGAGCTCGACTCTCATTGGTCCGTTAGACCCGAGACTGTGACACGTGAGCGCACCGGCGAATATCGATTCGGGTTGCGTTGCGGCGGCATTTTTAAGTTTTCGTAAAGCGGTGGGGGGTACGGTGAGACGGGACCACGTTGCTACTACCACCCGCTTCTCCCTTTCCTTTTTCCCTCCTTCCTTCCTTCCATCTCTTACTAACCCTCCAACGTTTGAATACGATTTTCTCTTTCTCTATATATCCGATGATGATACTCCAATGATAACGTACCCTTTTCCTCTTTCTTTATTTTACTTTTCCTATATAGTCTTTTTTTCTTGTTTATTGTTATTTTCTTCTTACCTTTTCTTGTTTTGGAAAAATTATTCTTTTATTTACGAAGATGATCTTTGCTATTTTTTATTAACTGCAATTTATGCGAAACGAGTCTACAATTATTATTTACTCGTTCATACATTATCGATTATTTTATTCACTATCAATTACAGTGTCTTCAAATTTTTTTTCTATCTACGATGACGATCTTTCTTAACTTTTTTTGTGTACTACTACGATTTATATAGGACGAGATAACAATTATTTTACGTTCGTCATACATTGTCAGTTATTTTATTTAATATCAGTTACAATGTCCATCGATCGATATGGAAAGTTGAGAATATTTTGTACGCTGTACTACTTTTGATATGTATGTATATATATATATATATATATATATATGTATGTGTGTTTATACATATATTTGATCCATTTATTTAGAGGAAAATTTACACCGAACAGTAGACGCCAAGTTCGTGCCTATTTATCTTTCCTTTTTAAAATTTCCATTTGACTTGGTGGAATCGGGAAAGTGTCCACCTTTTGGAATTAGCGAATTAAATGGATACACTATTTTGATATATTTATATCGATACTCTCCCTCTCTTTCTCTCTCATCGTATACTAGCTTCTAGTATCGTAACCGTAAATTTTGGTTCGAATGTATACTTCGTATAGACATGCATTAGTTACAAAACCCCATATCGTATATGTACCTACATATACATACACATACTTGTATATATATACATACATATAATTTAGTACGATACTGATAATTATTATTACAATCAAGGAATATCGTACATTAGAATATTTATTAATAGAAATATTGTAACTTTCAAGAATCAGTAATTGTGAAACAAAATTGAATGCGCACTTTGCTTACTCAATATTTATACAAAATTTCTACAGAAAATAAAGTACAAAGGGTGTTTGTTATTTAAATATACGAAAGAATCGGTTCGAAGATAACAAACGATGATAAGATAATTTTTCATTATTCTTACGATACTAAATTCTGTTATATTTATATATTATTGAAATTTTTAATTTCTTTGTGATTTATTTTTTAAAATTGTCTTCGTTTCTTGGAATCACGCTAATTTTATGTGTTAACCTCTCACTCACATATACACATTATATATATATATATGTCTTACATTTATTGTTAGTCCAACGGGAACGTAATTATTTAAATTGAGGTTAGAAAATATTATTTTTTATACTAATATACATTTATTATTACTTAATGGTATCAATCAAAAATAAAAATAAATAAATTCATATAATTTTATTTTATATATAGGACAAATTATTCTCATTTGCTATTGTATGAAATACTTGCCCTAATGTATTCGTAAATTTCTAATTCTTCTGATTGGTGTATCTCCAAATTCTCCCAGCCAATCGACTTACATCTAAACTTAAAGCAGTTTACAAAGTTGAAAAAATTAAATGAAGCATTGACAATGTGTAGAACAATAGGAATTACTTGCATTTATCGAAATTATTTATGAAAGCATTTTAATTTTCTTTTAAAAATATTATTTTTATTTTCATCGTACGTTTTATGGTTCATATTTCAGCAACTAGATGTAGCTCACGTGGCTCCACCATCTTTTTACTCACACGTAGGATTTCTATAGTACAAACGTATTCCAACACGGCTCGTTCTTCGAACGGTAGGCATCATGGTGAGTATTTCGCGTTTGTGTTTTTCAAAAACAATCCGAAGATGGGTTGAACATCCGTAAGCTAATTAATATTTAGTTATATTTAATGATTATTCATTTTTTTAAAGAATATTTTAAAGTTTATCTTATTGTAATAATTTTCTCATTTTTACTACAATATGAATTTATAAATATTACTTTTCTCTTCCTACTAATGTGGTTTTAAAACATCAATGAGTCTTTTTTGCAATGTATTTTTTAAATTATGGTATTAAATGAAATTATGTTTGTTTGTTTTTAGTCGACACATAAAAAAAAGACGAGGAAGTTGCGTGGGCACGTAAGTCATGGACATGGTCGTATAGGTTAGTTCTTTTGTTTTAAACAACATATTATGAACCATTGTAAAATCTTTTTGTAATACATGTTTATTAATTAATTATTTCATTTTTTAGGCAAACACAGGAAGCACCCCGGTGGTCGCGGTAATGCTGGTGGTCTTCACCATCACCGTATTAACTTTGATAAGTACCATCCTGGTTACTTTGGTAAGGTAAGAAGCTTTTTACAACTATGTAATTGTATTAAAAATGTTTCGTACACAAATTAACATGAATATTAGAAATCAATAATCCTATTGCTTACTTTTTTTTCTAGCTTGGTATGAGAAATTACCATTTACGTCGTAACACAAAATGGTGCCCTACTTTAAATTTAGACAAATTATGGGCATTGTTACCTGAACACAGAAGGCTAAAGTACGCTAAAATGGAAAACAAAGTACCTGTTATCGATTTGGTTAAAGCTGTAAGTTTATATTGTTAATAATATTTTTCATTTTAACCCTTTGCGCTGCAGCAGCACTGGAGACCGGTGATTTGTTTTGTACGAGCCAAACATAAAATAATTATGGAATGCAATATCGAGTATTATACGCAGTTTCACGCGTTGAATCATGATTGCATTAGTATTCTAATTAAATAGGCATTCGTTAAAAAGTCTGGGAGACTTAATGTCAGTCTTTAGTGCAGTCAGCTCAAGGGTCCAAATTATTGTTTCATAAATCTTATAAAAATATAAAATCTATAGGGTTGTTTCTTATGGGTTTTATTTTCTATTTTTCAGGGATATTACAAACTCTTGGGAAAAGGTCGGCTTCCAAAGCAACCAGTCATCGTAAAAGCAAAATTCTTCAGTAAATTGGCAGAAGACAAAATCAAGGCAGTTGGCGGTGCATGCGTTCTTTCCGCATAAGTTTTACGTACGTTTAATTATAATTTCATTTGATAATGATGGTATCTTTTTCTGAATAATTTTTAATATGATGATAATATGAACGGGCGGTCTTAATGAGTGCGTACAACACTTGAAACAATGTAGATGGTTCTTTACTGATTTACTTAAATTACAATGAAATAATTATAATTTGATATTATTTCAAAAATAATTAATTACGAATGTCATTTTGATTATAGGTAACTTGGAGGACTCGACGCAAGTACTTTCACTGTGTACATATTCTTAATAAAATTTATAAAAACCTAATTTCAAAAGTATTACGTTTATTATTTTCTCTTAATTATAATTATTTATTTATAAGATTATTTATTATATTATATATTTGCATATAATGCCAATAAAAATTAAGCTATATGAGGTGGAGGAGGTGGAATTTGCATCCCCGATGCCAACAATGCTGGAGGTGGTGGAACTGGATTGAACATTGGTGGTCTAGGAGGTGGTGGTACAGGTACCATTGGTGGTAAACCTGGTCGAATTAGTGGAACTGGTGGTGGTGGAACTTTGCCTACGGATGGTTTCTCGTTCTTGAATGCAAATTGTAAAAAGAATTGTTTGGTATCCTTGTTCCAGTGCGTCCAAAATTTTCCTTCTGCTTTTTCCACTTCTCTGCTTGGCACCTACAAATAATATTATTATTATAAACATAGTAAAAATATGAGAATAGTGTTAGTAAGAGGTTTAGATTTATAAGTAATTCTTACTTTAAACGCGATAGTTTCATACGGTTCTGCAGCGAACAATAAATATTGCCATTTGCGATCCGGTGGTTCAACTCTTTGTTCATAAGCAGACATAAACCTGTGACGGGGAATTACATTGTCTGCAACTTCAGGATAATCAACTTGGAATAATAAACTTTGTTGTCCTGATTCTGGGTCTCTCTGTTTAGTTACCCTGTAACCAGGTCGTCCAATCTTAACAAACTTTTTCGGTTCAACTCTCGGTTTTTCTGGTGCAAGCGTTTGGGGTGCTTCTTTAGCTTCCTTGGCTGCTCTTCTTGCTAGGTTAGCTTGATGTTTTTTACCTTGGGTATGAGCCAAGTAACTACCCTCGTTGTTGTGCAAAGTCAGACACAATTTACACTCGTACGAGCCCAAATGATTTTTCATAAAATACGGATCCTTGTTGAGATCGATTGTTTCTAATGCCAATTGTCTTAACCTCTCTCGTCGATCCCGATTACTTTCTGACCATGATGCCACACCACCACCTCCTGTTTTTCCACCAGGTCGATTTTGAAAATCCATGATGGATTTAAAAAACTTGACGATACGAAATTAAAATTATTACAAGCACTTTTATTTATTACTTTATTTCAATAACTTATCCTCATTTCGAATAAAATGCTATGATGTTATTCGTTTACTCATGGTTACCAACATACAAATAAAATTCGTTTTTAAAACCATGAAACATTTTTTATACAACTTTTTGTTGATTTCTTTCTAAGTCAAATTGGATGTTTAATATATTTTTTTAAGTCTATGATCTTTTACATTTTTTATTTAATTTTTAATCTTTATGATTATATCATTGGTAGATAAAAAAAGATTTTCCTTATCGACAGCAAGGAGTAATATTGTTTAGATGGCACCACCATTCGTATTTTTGTAATGCATCATGGTAGACAATATTTCCTAGAGAATTACCGAACATCGAATTTCGCGATGGCAACGCCATTTTCCCTAGATCCGGTTTAATCTTATTTCCGGAAAATGAATGAATTCACGAAGTCTATAATCTTTTGGGTTTTTTCACTTGTTCTTTAAACTTTTTATACTTAATTTGCTTAATAAATGTTTGATAAATGTTTAAATAATGTTAATAATTATTAGATATTATAAATTAATTTATTTGATGATACAATCACGTTTCAATGAGTTCAAATATTTTGTCTTTACAATCACATTATTCTTTCAATTTTACTTATTGATCATACAATTACGAATTTCGGAATACAAAAGTGGTCGAAATAATAATGTGTAAAATTTCATTTTTAACTATGAACGAATGAATATTGTGTAAAATTTCATTTTTAACTATAATAATTTTGGTGGTATTGTTTTAATGTTATTTGTTAAGTATCATCCGATAAAAAATTTAAAAAAGACAGACAGAAATAAATTTAAAAGATATGTAAATACGTTTTAAAAGAGGATATTTAGGAGATGAAGCAGTAAAGATGGATGCCAAAGGCAGTTGGTATTAACTACTTCAGTCATCGGTATTGGCACGAGCGAGTAGAGAAAATATATTCGCCATTAGGATTCATGAATATTTAAGTAGGACGTGGGAAACCGAATCGTAATTGTACTACTTGCTGCTATTTTCGACTTCGAATTGCACCTATATATAAATACACACATACAAATAAATATGCATACGTATGTACTTGTAAATGTTGAATTCTAATTCCATTTAACTAGTCTCAATTTTCAACATTCGATTCTATTAAAATTTATATTATCTTCCAAACAAATTTTTATTGTCAATTAATGTAGATAAAAAAAACCGAAAAAAAAGAAAACAGGCGTTTATACAGGCGTTCATATTGAATAAAATAAAAATAAAAAGAAAACGAAAACTAGTGAAACGTAATTCGTAAGCTAATGAAAATTCGATTAGAAGATTTCAATAGAAACGAACAAAACTGTTAGGAGTCAGTAGAAAAATGGCGATGATTTCGAGAAGACGTAGCAGGAGTCGGGTTGAAAATTGCAGAGGGCAAACATTATCTCGTTTAACGCGGGAATTTTCAAGCGTACGCGGCTGTTTTATATATTATATACCCATATATATATATATATAGTTCGATCGTTGGAAAATTGTGTTGCAGGATATGCTTTTATGCAGTGCACTGCACGTATTCGTTCACCTTTGGATATTCTGGAAGGAAGTAAGAAAGGTACGTTTCTTTCCTCTTTCAGGGGTTTGAAGAAAAACGGGAAGGGGGAAGGTGGAAAGGTGAGAGCGTGGGACGATGTAAGAAATGGAGGCAACTGAAAAGAGGGTGAGGAAGATGGAGGAAGAAAGATGAAGATAGAGGAAGCATCGTTTGAGTTGAAAAAGCTAAAAGGAGAGAAAAGAAGAGAAGATGCTTCGAGACAGCATCGATTTTTAAACTTGTTCAGCTGTGTTCAGGCGGGGAAAGGGTACCCCTTCAGAATTTGTCCGATTGAAAATTTATCCGACGCGCACAGTGTACCAAGATGGTCGTACTCTTTTTCCCACGTCCGCTATATATATATATATATATATATGTATATATGTATCTCTTTTCTATTCCTTTTCCTTAGGTTAGGTCCTTCTTCTTCTTCTTCTTCTTTTTTTTCTATTTCTTTTCTTCTTCTTCATCGTTCTTATTCGTTTACTTTGTCGTACCTTTCCAAGATTTTTCTTTCAGAGCCTATCTTTGCACTTTCCTCCTCCTCTCTCTCTCTCTCTCTCTCTCTCCTTCTAATATTTTCTTTCCTTTTTTTTTTACTGTCTACCCAGCACGCAACTCTTAGCTCGTTAATAATTCCTACGAGTAGCTAGGAGTGGTATGAGAGAGAGAGAGAGAAAGAGAGAGGATGCCTCATCCTTCGGATTGCTATACATTATTTTACACTTTAGAAAATTTCTAGAAAAGTCGAACCGAGAAACGAAGAACTTTGATTGCGAAAAGTTCAGAAATTTTTGTCGGCTCTGGACGTTTTAGCGGCTTCATCAGATAAAGATAGTAAAGAAAGCAAGAAAGAAAGAAAGAAAGAAAGAGAGAGAGAGAGAGATGGAGGGAGAATAAAGTAATCTGAAAAATTAACTTAGACAGCTTAGGAATATTTAAACACTAGTGAATGCATTATTAATCAGTTAAGCACTACCGTGTAATCGTTTAACTAATTGTTACGATCTATAAATAGACTAAATGTTAGAGAAAGATAAAACAAAATGAGATCGAGACAATCCTAACAAAATGTCCACCCTGATCCATCCCAATCTTCTGAAGTATTGGGACTATCATTAATCTTAAAACGAATTCCTCCAAATCCCTCCCAAAAATTAGGCTCGTGATTGTTGAGATTAGTTTCTCGTTAGGAAAGAAGAGATCAAAAAAAGATCGTTAATCTTCTAACTAAACGTTTTTTTTTTTTAATTCTAGTTTTATTGGTAATGTTCATGAAACGGTCAAAGATTTCGGTATTTTAAGGTTAGGATTTCGTTTTTTAGATGAGAACATAAATCAATCCAAAATATTTATTGTTAAAGGGATAAATCACACTAAGTTTTCGCATTCCAATGATCGTCACTGTCTTGTTTGGAAGAATTACCCAAGGTCGAGGACCAAACAACCCGATAAAAATGTAAAAGCGTTCCCTTGGGATCGCTTGGGTAAACACCGGAGTAAAATAGCCGAGTCTTCGCAACGAAAGCTTCCCTCCAACTTTACTGAAGATTCTTACCGAGTTTTTCCTCTTATTTTTCTGAATACTTAAACCAATATATCATAAACATCTGATTATTTAGGATTTCTTAATAAGTTTTGATAGAAAAATAATAAATCTAATAATAATTTTCATTATCCAATAATTTACATTAATTAAAAATATAAATAGCAATACCTTGTTTCTATTTATACGACCGATATTAAAAAAAAATATATGATTAATGTACATGTGTGAGAATATTTTGTTAAATATGAATAATAATTTAATAAATGGCTACACCCGGAAATCTATCAAAATTTCATTTCATTTGACAAATTGGGTCAAATAAAATCTAAAAGATCTATTAGAATATATGACCCGAATAGTCGATGAACGATTAAATAGAATAAAAATTAGATAAAAATCATCGTGGAATGGATACTTGATATAAGTACTGTGTTAGAAAGAAAAAAATTGATAAAAGAAGTAGGTTACCGATTAATCCCAGTTCCGACAGAATTTAATAGGTGGCGATCAGATTCTTCGGATGGTCCGGGAACTCTTTAGCGCTGGAGTTGATGGTATTAGTAATAGTAGTAGTAGTAACAGTAGTAGAAGTAGTGGTGGTGGTGCTGCTGGGATTGTGGTCGTTTGGCAATCCATTGAGGTGTAGGAAGGGCACATTCTCTAGAATGAGAACCTGATCGGACTAGGTAGGTAGGTAGGTAGGTAGGTAGGTAGGTAGGTAGCTTGCAACCTTCGAAGCCTTCCAACCTAGCTAGCTAGTTATCTACCAACCAACCTACCTACCAACTTACCTTCTGTTCTATCTCACAATCTAGACTCTCGTATACCTTCTCTCTGATATCCACCTCCTTCTCTTCTCTGAAACTATCCTACTCTAGTTTAGCTACTTTCTCCTTCTCACAATCTCTTACCCTTTACTCCCTCTCTACTATCAGTAGGAGCAGCAACCTTATACACGATGGTCGCGGGCAACCACGTTCTGGCATCACTCCAAATTGCGTGCGAAATGATCAGAGGCAGATGAGAAGGCCGTTCTGGGATTGCCGTTCGTGGCAACGTGTAACGAAGACTATTGCCAATATGACCAATACCTACGAATAACTTTATACGAAATCTAATAAGGTCTGTGTGTAATTTACAGGATGTTCACCTAATTACCTATTCAATTAAATACTAATCAAAAAACGATTCGTCATGGAACGTAACAGGACTATCACTCTCATTTCTAAACTTTATCTCTTTTACGGACTATCTTTCGATCTGTCAGTTTTGTTAAGGTTTCTTTTAATGAGAAAACGAAAGAGGAAGAGAGAGAGAGAGAGGGAAAGAGTGAAAGAAAGACATAGGTGAGATCGGGACACGTGTTGCGTCAACTCGTCGACTACCTTCGTCCTGGAACTTGGTTATAACGAGCGAGAAACTAACGTCTCCTAGCGTACACGCTCTACTTGCCTTTTTCCAATATTTATCCTAAACTTTTACTCTATCTGTCTCTCTCTCTTTATCCCTCATTCCCATCTTCCTTCCTCTTTCTCTCTCAAAGTAAATCGTTACCGCGTCCGTCCAGGTTCTAGTGGTGCATCGATCGTCCAAGAAACGGAATTTCTTCCTATAAAAGCTATTCTCTCTTTCTCTTTCATTCTCTTACAATTTTTCTTGAAAATTCTTCTTTAATCTCGTAAAGTTGCGGATCTATAGTTTATCTATATAAAACTTGATAGTTTAATTTATATATACAATATATTTTATATACTGGATGGAGATCATATAAATGGGAACATCTAAATATTTTAGTTTGTTTACAATCGTATTAGAAAATTTCAAAGAAAAATAATTGCGCTATTACAAAGGGGCAAATTTAATCGTTGAAATAATTTTTGTTTTTATACGAGATTTGTAGGACGATTAATTTCTTTGTTTTTTTTCTAAACGATAAATAAAAGGATAATTTTTGCAAATAATTTCAATAGAAATACAATAATAATAATTCGATTTGTTGGTGATCTTAATTTAACATTTCGAGGGTTCAAAGACATTAGAAATTCCTGTGATCTTAAGTCTACGTGTTAAGGTACATAGAGACACATAGGTACCCACACATACACACATAGATATACATATGAATACACAAATATACATGCTCATACACAGATAAAGATTAACGCTTTGTCGATTCGAAAGCACGTACCTATCTTCTGTTGGACGTGTATGTACACACTACCATACGTTCGTTTATGTACGTTAGCGCATGATTATTGTGACAATTTCATTTCGTAACGTCCCACAGGACAGGCAATGACTTCGTACCCGAAACGATCCAGGGTCCTCCGTGCTCCTGCTTTTAATGCACCACTATCAGGGTGACCAGCGTCACTACGTTTGCTAAATTTCCCTTCGGGATATGTTTCGCGAATACTGAAAATCCATTTGCTATCTAAATTTCGACTATCCATTCCAATTCCTTCGTTAAAACTTTAGCCCCATTAACCAAGGATACACGATATTAAGATCGTGATAACAAGATCCTTATACGATTTTTATTTAAACACATTCGACGACGAATTATTTTAGTGATTTTATATTTAATTGTATCGAAACATTTGTATATTTCTTAATTTTATTTATGATAGATAAAAAAGAAATTGAATTGATTTAAAAATAAAATCAATCGCGTCGAATTTCATCCGTTTTCCTGTCGTATTCAAACCGACTATAAAAAAAAATATGAAATAATTACAATTTTTGCGTATAAACATTTGATATAAAATCAAATAGTAATCGTTAAACAACAAAATTATATTACAATTGACTATAATAATTTAAAAACGAACACGAGGCTTTGATATTAGATAACTTTGAAACAAAACGTTCGAATAAATTTGCATGTAGGGGGGGGGGAATATATGCATATCCAAGCGAAATTATACAAAATGGAGTAAAGAAAAAAAAAACAAAAAAAAAAAAGAAAAAAAATAGAAAGGAAGAAAAAAAGGGGAATCTCTCTTCATAGAGGGCGGCAAAGAACGGACACTTTTCTATGATCCTCGGGCAACGAGGCCGATGAATTGATGAATTCGACGTGAGAAGAAGTTTTCCTCTGTCGATATCTCCCTATCCTCATCTCTGGGGGTACCTCTTTTCAACTAGCTTTGATCGACGTTACTTCAAAGCGAACGTGCTCGCTGTCTCATTTCAATTCTGTTTTACTTCGCCCGCATATCGATATCCTTTGTTTTTCGTCCTCCATCGTCTAGCCCGAACGAATGAACCAACCAACCAACGAACGAACGAACGAACGAACGAACGAACGAACCAACGAACCCAGGCATCGGCCTTTTCTGAGATGAATTTTCTGCTCAAAGACATGGATATAGTAGACCGATAAAGGGACAAACAGACGGATCCATAGACGGTTTCAATAAAAAAGAAAGAAAAAATAGAGAAAAGATAAAAAAAAAAAAGAAAGTAAGGGAAACGAAGTCTCCGGGTAATCCGAATTTTCGGCGTCTCAAAGTATCCGCGAGTGAAAATCGAGTGAGAGGACCGGAGGAGAGACGAACGAAAGGCTAATGGCGTTGGAGATGAGGGTGAAAGAGACGGAAAGAGGAGTGGCCGTTATACTAATTTGGTGGGTGCTCGTTAACGACCCCTTTGAGGTCATAAGTTTTGCCGGTCGGTTCGTTCGCTCACACAAGAGCGAACGTGAACGCGGGGGAGTGAGAGAGAGAGAGAGAGAGAGAGCAAGAGAGAGAGATACAACGAGAATGTGTGGGCGAGAGTGAGAGAGTGAGAGAGAGTGAGAGAGGGTGAAAACGTGTGTGCGCGTTTCGCGGGACATACTCGATGTCCTTTTCATCCCCCACTACGTTAAAGTTACCGACCGGTAGAGCGCACTCTGCTAATCGCGATCGCATTCGGCTCATATTCGCCAAGTTTCGTAGATTTCCGTGAAAAGCGCGCCGGATCGACGGGAGAAAACTAGCCAAAGGTTTTTCTTGATTGCGCATGCGTACAATGAAAATCTGCGCGCCCCTTCGGCGTCGAACTCACCCTACCACTACTTCAAACCACCCCCATACCGAAGGCACCCCACTACTACTATTTCTACTATTACTACTACTACTACTACTACTACTAATACTACTACTTCTCTACTATATACTACTACTACCAATCTCCGTACTACCTCCCCACTCCTCGATTCTTAAGAGAAGTGGTGGGGATGAGAAACGTGCTTGTCACGGATGCACTCGCCAAAGAGACGACGGACAAACGCTTCAGTAAGCGCCGCGAGCTCGACGTGGATGGACGCTTTGCTCTCGGCATATTCTTTATCTATTTATACTTTGCTTAATATTGTTATTATTATTATTATTATTTTATAATATAACACATAAGTTTGAAATTATATATATATATAATATATATATATATATATATTTNTAGGATATCAAAATGATAAAGAAAATATAAGAAAGTGATACAAGAAGAAAGGAGAAAGAAGAAGAGAGAAAAGAAAAAAATATATATATATATTTTTTTCTTTTCTCTCTTCTTCTTTCTCCTTTCTTCTTGTATCACTTTCTTATATTTTCTTTATCATTTTGATATCCTATTTCGATGGTTTCGGACTAAACATGTACGTTCGGAACGATTAACACAAATTTGAAAATTAATTTCTTTATATATTTATATTTTTCTTTTTGTTGTTGTTGTTGTTGTTTAAATTATTTAATTCCCAGTGTCGCATGGAATTTTCGCGCGTGTTAAAAATATTAATCGATTTGATCGTTGTTAGAGATCGAATTAATCGATCGTAAAGATATTATCGATAACAAATAAATCGATCTCGTGAACATTGCGAACTATTTTCATTTGACTAATGTTAAATTTGAAGAAAAGATAATAAGAAATATAAATAAAATATAGAAGAAATAGAAGGAGTAAAAATAATATTATAAAAGAAAGAATAAGTGTATCGTGAATAAAAAAAAAGAGGGGTCAAACGTCAAGAAAACTAAAAAGAGAAAAAAGGTATAACGGTAAAGAAAAGTTAGAGTAAAACAAAGTCGAGGATAAGAGGATAAAAAAGAAAAAGAAAAGAGAGAGAAAGAGAGAGATAACGAATTGATATAAAAAAGAAAGAAAGAAAGAAAGAAAGAAAGAGATAGATAGAAAGTGAAAACCTATTTTGGTTCTATTTTCTTGAAACTATCATTCGGGTTTATCCGTGAAACAATATAGAAGGGAATCGGTTTATGATAGGAAGGATTCCCCTTTTGAGAAGGAAGAGATCGAACCTGATTAACGCGATCGTCTGTAATTAGCGATCGTAAAAGCTCTCCACTCGGCTGTTTCCAATCTGCTTTCGTGACTGATCGTTTCCTACACGGGAAGAAGGAAGGAAGGAAGGAAGGAAGGAAAGAAAAGAAAAAAAGAAAGAAAGAAAGATTAGGAAAGAAGGGTTGTTTTAGGGTTGGTCTGTAAGAAATGAAGGGAGGGGTGCTTTAGCACAGAAAAAAGAAAAGAAAAAGAAAGAAAAATCATACGGAATTAAGGGTGTGAGATCAACGATCTATACGTAAAATCAATCGATGAAGTTTACCAAGAAGAAAGAAAAAACATCTATCGTAACCCCATTGTTAACCCTGCTAACAAACCCCCATAGTTAATCGAGTAATCGGTGGTTTAAAAACACGAACTAAGGAAGGGTGAATGAAAAGAAGATGATGATGATGATGATGATTATGATGATGATACTTTCATTCTAGGAACTAAGTGAGAACCTTTTACGCTGTGTGTTTGTTTTCTCATCATTATTTTGTTTAATATTATTGTTGTTTTTTTGTTCTACGATCTACAATAATATTACTTCGTTCGCATTAACTCCTACGATCATCTTCACTCTTCTAATGGTAATTTCATCGTTTATCATTGATAATCAGAAGAAATATTAAAGATGTGTGCTTATTCCTTACGTCTTCTTTGCGTCCTCGGTGTTTTATTCATCGTTAATGGTAAGTCGATCAACATCATTTTTTTCTCTTTTTATATTTTTACTAATTAATATTTAATATTGTGTTTCGTTTATTTATTTACGCGTATATTAATGGAAATCGTTTTTTCCTTGTCCAACTATTACTAGAAACATATATATATATGAAAAAAAAGGAAAAGAAAAAGAAAAAAAAGTAGCGAATTTTTGTTCTTTTCATCGTTTTCGTGTCATCCTCCTTCCCTCTTTTCTTTTTGTCTCTCGATGGACGAGTGCCACGGAGAGCAACCGAAAGAGGGGTTGGAAAATGGTGCAAAAAGCTGAACGGCGACTACGCGGGAACACGTCGGTTTTATACGTCGACAGTTTTTACGGGCGCGTTGCCGCGTGTCAGCGGTCGTAATCTACGTGTTGAAATCGAGGATGATGGAGAGAGATGGACGAAAAAAGTTTTAGAGAGATAGAAAGGGAAAGACAGAAATAGAAAAAGAACGAAAAACAGAGAGAGAGAGAGAGAGAGAGAGAAAGAAAAAGTTCGGGGTTGGGTTTTGTGTATGTTGAAAAAGGACTAAAGGAAAGGATACTAGATGTTTTACTACTACTACTACTACTACCAACAATTACTATTACTATTAAAAACAAAATTAGATATGGAAAAAAAGGAAGGAAGGAAATAATAATAATAATATTAATATTTTTAAATAATGATAGTAGTAGTAAGGGAGGAACAGGTTTTACGAACAAAAATTAAACGTGGTTCGAAGGTTTTACAAATCTACGCACCTCAACAACAATATTATTATGTGGTTTGTGATAATAATATTAAAAATAATTGGTGAAGTAAGGGGACAAATGGGTTTTATTACAAAAATTAAACGAGATTTAAGGGTGTTGAATATCTACGCAAAACCTGTGGCCCTTTTACAGGCTGAAAGTAATACAAATATCTTTGTTTTGCGTTTATTTTTTTTTTTTTCTATATAGGCTCGCAACGGATTAATGCAAAGTCAAAAGAACGGTGACTGAATTAGTAGGAAAAAAAAATCAAACCCATTGGGAGGAGACTCCCCCGTTTTCCTTTTCCTTTAATTCTTTTTCTTCTTTTTTTTTTTTTTTTACACGTACAGTAGTTCGAAATGAAATAGAATGAAATGCATTGTTACTTTATTTTTCTCGCAGTACGTAAACTTGAATAATATAATTTAATTACAACGCGAAAACGATATTCGTTACGTGTTAATTAAAACGATGTCATTTATTTGAAAAATTACGTCGTCTAGATTTTTTTTTAGTTTTTTTTGTTTTTCGTTCGAATTCGTATGCCCCGAATAAAGGAAAACTTTGTCGGATAAATTCCTACGAACGCGTTCGAACGCGCGTGTAAGCATTCATTCGCATTAATAATAATTGTTGCACATTATCGTTTCAGGTAAATAATCGATGTAATCATTTCGATTAAACGAAATTGTAATTTAACGTTTCTAAAAGGATTCGTTAAACGAACGATCTGTTGCAAAGATTTTTGTTTTTTTTTAACGTAATTTCAGTTCCCAATACTTTTCTTTACTTATGACCTTTCTAATAATTTTTGTTCTTCGTCTTTTACTTTTTTTTCTAAAGATAAACCTTCTTTTCTCACCGGCAAAAATAAAAATTTCACGTCGGAATCATTCGAGGTTAAACGTATCGAACAAAATTGTTAATCCTTTTATTCGCATCAAATACGAAATATTTATTTCATACGTTACTTCGTGTCTTCTTTTTTTTTTTTGTTTCTTTAACATATAGGTAATTAATATTGTTTAATAGTTCTTTCTATTTTCTCTGGAAACCAAAATTATTCATTCGGTGTGAAAAGTAAGATGCTCTCATACACACACACACACATTCCTTCTCTCTCTCTCTCTCTGTCTCTGTCTCTTTCTCTTTGGAAAGTACCGTTTTCGTTTAACGTGCAGACCAACTCGTAGCTTTAGATTTATCTGCAACGTGTTGCGTCCTTGCTTTATGCAATAATCGACGCAATGTTGAACGAACGAACAGAACGAACTGAACGTACGAACAGTACAGAACAGAATACAACCAGAACTGAAGAGAAGAGAATAGAAGAGAAGAGAAGAGAGGAAAACGGACGAACAGAACAGAACAGAATAGAACAGAACAGAACAGAACGGAACAGAACAGAATAGAACAGAACAGAACAGAACGGAACAGAACAGAATGAACAAACTACGAGGATGCATTTGCCAAATTGCACAGGAGTTTTCGATGATCCCTTTTCAGTATATTTAACAATAATAATAACAATAAAAATAACAATAACAATAATAATAATAATAATTATTATTATTTGATAGTAGCTCGATGAATTTTATCCCTTTGCAATCTCTTCTTCCTTTACCCCCACTTCTCTCCCTTTAACCTCCCCCCCCTCTCTCTCTCTCTCACTCATATGGGATATCGAGCGGAAATTAGCATTTTAGATACATACGGAATGAGTTTCGGCCGATTGTATACGCGTTAGCGTATCCCTATGAACGATGAACAACACTAGGATAGGTGGAGAGGATAGGTGGTAGCTACGACTAATTTAAATATGCCTCTTGCGCGTTAATTAACAGCACACAGGGGAAAGCTTCTATTAAATTCGTTAAACAGAGATGAGGAGGAGAGGTTTTGGTATAATAAATTTATACATTTATACAAATATTAATTAATTATAATTGTATAAATATATTCGGTTTTTTACCGTGGTATTTGGTATCTGTTAAAAATCATCGTGTTAATCTTAACATTCTCCAATTTTGTTCTTTCACGATAACATATATATATTATATATTTGTAGTATATCAGCGTTTATTTTCGTCGTAGAGAGAAAGAGAGAGAGAGAGAGACACACACGTGTCGACAAGAATTGGATAAATCGTTCGATCGTTTTTCAGATCTATCATTTTCTTTGAGGAAATTACGTGTTTACCAAGAATATATTCTCTCCTTTTCTCTCTCTCTCTCTCTCTCTCTCTCTCTTTCTGTCTATCTTTGTCTTTCCGTAGTCTCTCGTTGTTCGTTCGATCGTAAAACGAGGATGGCAAGCAACATTTTCGACGTTACTAAAATCTAAACACATACGTACATATCGCATACGTATATCATGTATCTACATACACGGATAGATAGATACACGTGTAGATAGATAGATAGATAGATAGATAGATGTATAGATAGGTATGTATATAGGTAGATAGGGCGCAAAATGCGCTTGTACAAACATTGCATAGTGGACGAGGATCGGGTCAATGGGCATAAAATGAGCGCTTATTGCCAACAAAAGCTTCGCACCATCACCATTGGAAATTGACTTGTCCGTTTTCATACGTCCACTGAGATTCCACCGAGAGAATGACCGAAAAAGGTTTTACTAAACCCTCCTACACCCTACCCCTCTTTCTCTCTTCCTACAGTCCCCTTTTTTGAACCACACTCTTTCCCCTTCGATTCCTGTTATGTTCGTTAAAACTAATTTCTCTCTCTCTCTCTCTCTCTCTTTCTATCTGAATCCAATGAAAAGTCATCTCGAAATCCTAATCACCGATTATTTCATTACTAATCTCGAATGAGAAAATCAATCGTCCATGAGAGATTAATGTTTCGTGAGAGAAAATGTGATCCCATTTCCTTGTTCCCGTGTGTGAATAGACGCATGTATGTATGTATGTATGTATAGATGGATGAATGTATGTATGGATATATGGATGTTTGTGTGTGTTTTTGTTGATCCTCGGTTTTTATTTTTTTAAATAAAATTTATGTAGAATTTTTCATCGTTGATTCTCTAATTTACATTCGAGGATTATTTTTATTCTAATTTTAATTTTAATGCACGTTTATTATTTTACATTTCAATTTTTTTTATGTAATAATTATGATAATAGTAGTGTAATTCATTTTGAATATTACATTCGTTATTATTCGATTAAATGATTTTACAAAAAACAATCCATTGAAATTACATAAATATAATTCTAATGAAATAATAATTATATTTAATATTATTATTATTAGTAAACGTTTTTAGTTTTATGCCTCTCAAAAAAATATATCGATCAGAGTGTATAGGTAAACAATTTACGTGTTAATTCGTAACATCATAAGATCCAACAAATTTATAAATATAATATTACATTAATTATTTTTTAATACCTAATATCTCTACGATGAAACTCAATCCATAAAACAAAATACAAAATTAAGAAAAACAACACAAGAAAATTCCTTGAAATTATTGTAATTAGATATTAAAAAGTAAAAAATAAATTTCAAAACAGAATATCTCGTTTTCACGTGAAATATTTAGAATATGAACGATACGAGGATAGAGAATAGGGTAGAAAGTGGAATGAGGGGGAATGTGGGGAGGGTAGAGTTAGTCGTCATTAAAATCGAATAGATCTTCTTCGATCGATCTTCAGCTATCCAACGAAGCTGGTACACTCAACTGTTACGGTTTCCACAAACTACAAGGGTTGTTGTCGCTAATCGCAGGTAGGATGCTAACGAGGATGAGTCTCGAATATGTATACGATAAACACATACAATTCACACAGAGTAACTTACGTACGTATATAAACACATATATACACCAACGAACGTGCGAGTCTTTAATAGCTATGTATTAGAAGATGGTTGTGGGACGTACGACCGTCAATCAGTATGATTGAAAGTTCGGACGAACGGCGAATAACAATTCGTCTAAAATGACTGACAGCTCTTTACACAACAGCTCGCTAACACAATCTTCCCTTTTGTCAATAACGCTAACGCATCGCGTATAATAGCACTACGATAGGAAACCTCTTTTCTTTTCTGACTTTTTTTAATTTCATTATTGTCGTCTCTCCTTTTCTCTCTCTCTCTTTCTGTCTCTCTTGTTTTCTAATTTTCTATATAGATTACGTTGGTCATTAAGTTGTGCTGGAATTTGAAGTATTTTGTATTAAATGGACACTAGTGCATTAGATACAT